TATAAATGGAAAGGAGACTGCGACCATACCAGAGGCCACAACATCTTGGTCTTCATATCATGGGAAAGTTCGAATTTCGCTCCTTTATCACCTTATTCTGGAGCCCTATTTAAAGATTTATTGACGATTAGGATACTACTTTACAATAATATAAGTAACGTAATATATTATAATGGCAAAATATAAGTTTGCTAATAGAAAATTTCACTATAAAATGTGACGCGGGAGAAACCTAGTTTTCCTTGAAATTCCCTTGGCCTTGTCAATAAGACATGATCGTCTCTATGTGGCACTAACTGGGTTCGAGACCCACCGGAGCTGCTGATGAGACCAGCTCAGATGAGGTCAAAACTGCAGTTCTCTCCAAATCAGTTCAGTTGGGGTTTCACTTTGGGAAACAGGGCTGTGAAAATCAAATGAAAAAAAGAGCCTCAGTCCTCTGACTGTGAGAAAGTTCAACTATCAGTCCTTCATCACCTTATTCGATCCAGGATGACCGCAACTACTGTACATAGATTCTTCAGCCTCAGAGATAGTTGGCCTAAATACTGCCAGATCAACAATGAGGCTAAGAATGGTGTGAAAGCGATACTTTCATATCAAGTACTCGTCACTTCAAAGCAGAGGTTAATTAGAAAGGATTCAAAGATTGGCCTAATCTGAAGCCCATGAGCTGTTGTACCAAATGGATTGTGCAAAGAAGCCGTTGGTGAAGCATCCATGCCCATCGTGGCAGCAATAGTTCGAGAATTAAACCATATTTTGAGAAAGTGTTTCAACATGATTTTGTTGGCCGTTTCATGCTCCTCCTACATGCCAACCGATAAGTAAAGCGATAGCTGACGACTTGTGAAGTGGTTGCGAGCAAACAAAAATCACTTTCATCTTGATCCTGAAATGTTGCTGTATTACACATACTCGTGTGTGTGAATACGTGTTGTGTGTGTAAGCAATGCTCCTGATTTATGCTAAATGTAAAAGGCCAGAACGAAAGCTCAGCCCGTTTACACTCGAAACGAGGGAGAATGTCCCGTGTACTGTACCAACCTAAACGTCATATTAAGGCCAAACAGCTGTACTACCTTCGAGTCTCTTCTTCATACACTTTCATATGAAATAAAGGTCTTCACAAAGATGTTATCTCAGGAGATTCATCAAAACAATTCATAACCAATGAAAACTGCATTGATATGAAATTGTTAATGGATTCTTCTAGACTTACTATGAGCATGAGTCTATCCCAGATGAAATCGTATGAATGTGGACATAATTCCACCATCAGAACTAAAATCACCCAAAGTGATTCAATTCGTATGCTTCACTTCATTATTCATTTTTGCACAATATGGCGACGAAAACTCTTGTAACAAGAGCAGAATATGTACATTTCAAAGAGGAGAAATGAAAAAAAAGTGGATTGACTAAAATGTTCGCACCTCCCGAAGAAGATTGTCTGCAGCTCTGGACGGCGAGTTTGAGTCCAGAATCTCCCAGGAACAATTAGGAAGGATGCCATTCTCAGTAACTGGCCAGTCTGGCCTCAGAACAGATCCATTCGCCTCCTCCGTTTTATTCTGTCCCGAGGGCAAAGCGCTGGTGAAGGCGACGACGGCGGCCGAAGTGACGCTTGGCGCTGGAGCAGTTTGATCAACATGTCGGGCCGTGTTTCCGGGCGTTCGTCGTGGTGATGCTGCTTGTCCCGGAGGCAGAGGCACCACACCCGAGACCGCGTAGAGACCAGCCTGACTCGGACAGACTGGAGTTGTTGCGCGAGGTCGCTGCCTGGGCACAACAGACGTCATGGGTGATGTGGTGGGCGATGGTGTGGCGGCGGGCTTGGAAGGCGACGTGTGAGCAGAGGTTCGAGGAGGTTGATGACTGAGGATGGGAAAAAAACAGAAAAAATGCACAAAATCAGAAGTGAACATCACCAAAGGGCTTAGTTAGGCAATATATGGAGCAAAAAAGATGGATTAGTTGAAAATTACGTGGCTCGATTTTCCATTTCGAAGAGTTGGTTTGGAGGGATTCACTAATTGGGCTCCCAACAAGCCGGAGTGAAGGTTGTTAGAGTGTATGATGGCATCAATGCGGGGTAGACTAGATGATTGATGAAGAAAATTGTTGGAGGACTTTCGGTAGGGAGTGACAGTGAATTTTCCTAACAATGAAATGAGTAGGCCTCGGGTAACCGAAACATTTCAACTGTTTTATGCGAAGAAAAGTTGGGTTTCGAGGAATCTCTTCTTTCATAATTGTTGAGCTTACTTCCATTTCGAGTGAAAGTGTTGGGTGAAGAGCTTCGAAGGTCGGTTCCATCAATTTTCTGCAATTTAATAAAGTTTTCTTGACTCGTTAGCTTCAATTTTGTTGTGACGATGATACCTTGCTCTGATGGTGTTCGTCATGTGACGGACGAAGGCTTAGCAACTTTTCATCGGAATGGAAGGAGATTGTCTCGGAAACAGCGTCAGCATGAATGTTAAAGTAAAACCAATCGACAGCTGGTCAAGAGGAATGCGCCATCGTCTTCTGGTGAAACCGACCTTCGAATATCTTCACCAAACACTCACTCGAAATGGAAGTAAGATCAACAATTATGAAACAAGAGATTCCCCGAAACCAAACTTTTCTTCGCATACATGTTGACGCAGTCCACCAGACCTCCTCCCTCGTTTCGGATGAAAACGCGCTGAGCATTCGTTCATCAAATGATGGACATCATCAGAGCTTGAACTACTTCTTGTAAAAGTCTCAATTTAACACTAGGTTTTCACACTGCGCCAACCTAAATGTCGTATAAAAGAGAAACGGCTGCAGTACAACGGGATTCAACCATTCTCTTTTGGTGAGATCGACCTTCGAATGTCTTCTGCATTCACTTTCATACCAAATAAAACTCCCCCGAACAATGTGATCTCAGGAGTTCCATCGAAACTCAGCTTATCTTCGTATCTACAATGTTCACGAAAAGTCCAAAAGTCTAAACCAGCCGGACACATTGCCAATACGAGCATGAGATTAAGAAGCGAGTAGGTTTTCGAGACTACTAGTAAATCTGTTGTATGAGAAGTATTCACACTATTTCGTTTAAGGTGATGAAGGACTGGCAGTTGCATTTTCTCAAAATCATATGAGAAGAGCACACATTTCAACTGAATTTCACACAGCTTTGCTTTC